TTGATTATTTCTTGTGGTCTACTCCTCTTGGGTATGGTTACTTCGTTTTGTTCTAGAGCTTTTAATTTGCTGTTAATTTGCTAGTGTGAGATCTTTCCTGTTTTATAATGTAGGCACCTAGTGCTAAGAACTTGTCTGATAGAACCACTTTCATTGTGTGTTATAATTTTGGGTATGTTGTGTATTTAGTTCTATTCAATTCTAGAATGTTCTTCATTTGTTTATTCATTTATGTCTTGACCTTTTATTTAGTAGAATTGTTTAGTTTCCATGAGTTTGTAAGCTTTCTGTTTATTTCTGTTGAATATTAGACACATGTTTTCAGGAACCTGCAAATACATGACTTGTTTTGTATACTAAGTTGAAATCACAAAATTTTTCAAAGAAAATCTTTCCTGAAATTATTTTAAAGCAATTTTTGTGTGTTATTTATCCTATTATTTATTGAGTAGTGAAGCAAAAGCTTGAGGTAACTGGTTGTCCACATTAGTTAAGAGGTAACTTTGTAGGACATTTCTCAGTGGGTGGGTCAGTTCTCCACAGTCATTGTTCATTTAAGTTTTTACTATTTTTATCTTTTTTTTTTTTTTTTTCCCCATGATGGTTTAGAAATAGCTCCCTTTCCCCTATGCTTCATAACCATAAGAACACATTTCCTGGACACTTGGGTAAATCTAGTTTGTCACTTTTTCTTGATATTTTCTTCTTCCTCTGTGGCTCTAGTAATGGAAATGTGTAAAGAATACGATGTAGTTTTAATTTATTATTAAAATTTAAAAATAAACATCTTCTGAGTACAGCCCATTTTCACTCTGCCACCATGGTTTTACTGCCTACTGAAGCATTGGAAATACAAAGAAACTAAGAATCTGTCCAGTAAAGAATAGGTTAGTTAAAATCTGTATTTTTGTGTGTAAACAGTGTATGTTTATACATGTATCTATATTTTAGAGAATATTTATCCAAATTATTACAAAGATCATCTCTGGACTTCACAACCTTTTTGGCAATTAGATTTTAATCTTTGTTCTTTGACTGTCTTTCAAATACTTTTAAGATTAACTGTACTATGTGCTGCTGTAGCAAAATGCAAGATTCTAGGAACCTTATGAAGTTCATGCATTCATGTTTTAAAATCCAAAGGCTAGAAATCAGAGAACAATGCTGGCAACATGTCTGGTGACAGCCTCATTGCTAGGTCCTCACATGAGAATGAGGCCAATTGTCATGTGGTGACAAATGAAAGGTCCTAAAGAATATGGACACTGCGCCTTCATATGGAGACGCAAAAGGACACAAATATACTGCATCCAGCTCTTAGATAAGAAACTTTACCATTCACAGGGCCCATCACTGCACGACATCACCTCCTGAAGGCCGCAACTAGTCACCTTACCAAACTGCACAGTAAGTGGAGGCATATGGATTGTGGACCACAAGTTTCAAGCACAGGATTCATATTTATTAATTTTTATTAAAGTAGGTAATTATCAGACAGTTTTCTGTACTCTGACAATTTCAACAAAGAAAAAAATGTAGAAAAAAAAGTATTCAGTGGATATAATAATTGCTTGGGTAATTAGAAAAATCAAGGTAGATCTATGTATCATACAACACATGAAAGTAAAATGCCGCTTTCTTCTGTAACTAAACATAGTAAAACATGAAACAAAGCAATTGAAAGCTCATGTGGTGCTCCATATCCCCTATTATTTGTTGATTTCATTTAGACTGTCTTCACATATGTATATATTTTATGAAGCTTTTACCGAATCAGGTTTCCATACCACCGTACAATGATCCTTAATTTAAGCTGTCTCTCCACGTATTCCCTCACTTATCTCTCCCTACTCCATTTTCCCACTCGATCCTCTCATTCTAACCCAGTCCCATCCATCTATAATCATCCATCCTATTTTCCTTTTCCAAAAGTATCTATCTGTCTTCTTCCAAGTCCCTTTTTCTGTACCTAACTCCTGTGGTTCTATGGATTATAGCTTGGTTATCATCGACTTAATAGCAAATACCTACATATAAGCAAATATCTACCATACTAGTTTTTCTGGTTATTCATTCAGAAAGGTTTTTTTCTAGTTCTATTCATTCACCTGCAGATTTCATGATGTCATTGTTTTTTAAGATATTTTATTTATTTATATTGCTTGCATGTCTGTCTGTGCACCATATGTGTGCCTGGTGCCCTCAGAGGCTGAGGTGGGGGTCAGATCCCCTGGGACTGGAGTTACAGACACTTGTGAGATGCCATGTGAATTCCGGGAATTGAACCCAGGTCCTCTGGAAGAGCAGCCAGTACTCTTAACCACTGGGCCATCTCTCTAGCCCTGATTTCATTATTTTTAATAGCTGATTAATACTCCAATGTGCCATGTACCATATTTTTTATGCATTCTTTTGTGGAAGGATATCTAGGTTGTTTCCAATTTCTAGCTATTATGAATAGAAGAGCAATAAACATGGTTGAGCAAGTGTCTGCACTAGGATAATGCATCTTTTGGGTATATACCCAAGAATATATATAGCTGGGTTGTCAGGTAGATCAATTTTCAACTTTCTGAGGAACCTCCATATTGATTTCCCTAAGTAACTGTGCAACTTTGAACTCCCACCAGCAGTGGAGGAGTATCGGGAAACCCTGCTGCTAAGGCAGCAGTCCACCATTACTGGAAATCTCTGAGCTCAGAACAAAATGAAAGACTCCTTTTGTCATGGAAACTTTCTCTTCTCTGCCTTGAGGGATATTGGGCCTCTACCTGAAGAATGTCACATAGATATTAGGGAAATTACACATTCAACTCCCTTTCTTTCAATAGATCCTGTTCAGCAAGCACTTGGGATTTTTGGAATGCCATACTAGTTCACACTAATGAGGTGTCTCGTTACCTTTCCCTTCAGCCAGTGACATCCCACATGGATATCCCCAAAGCTCTATATAACCTTCATTCATCCTGAATAAAATTGGTGTATTTCCCCACAGTTAGTACCAGAAGGTAATTTCCTTTTGTGCTCGTGGACCACCTCATCCCCAGTTTGTCACTTCTGTTCCATTACTTGTAAGGACTGGTGGCCAACAACCACCACAGGAGCAAAGGAGAGTCACAGAAGGGTGTTCCTCTTGCTCCACATCTTCACCAGCATGAGCTGTCACTTGAGTTATTGAGCTTAGGCATTCTGACAAGTTTAAGAGAGAATCACAAAGTAGCTTTTATTTGCATTCCCCTAACGGCTAAGGATGTTGAATATTTCTTTAAGTGTCTTTCAGCCATTTGAATCTCCTCTTTTGAGAATTCTCTGTTTAGATTTTTGTCACCAAATGAACCTTCCAGTGCTGGGATTGGTTTGCATCTAATAGAGTTGTTAGCCAAAGAAGTTCCATTGGACTCTCCCAAACAATCAAGGCTGTGGCCAGTTCCTCTCTACCAACTGATGGTAAGAAACCATTGCTGAAGGCTACATCAACACAACTGACTGAATGGAGATGCCAAGCTGCCACCTATAGAGAGCCTTCTTTACGTCTACATTACGTTGTCTTTGATACAGGAAAGTCAACTGCGCTATGTCATAAGAGAAACATAAATCCTAACCCAGGCCACAGATCCTTTGATTTACAAAGATGCTCTGCCTTCAAGAAATGCTAGTCCAACAGTGACACAAAATGTGTGGGAGTAACTAGCCAATGCCTGATTTGACTGAAGATCCACATAGCAGAGGAGAGGCAGGTCTGGCTTTCCTGCAATGCGGCCTCAGGGCTGACTCAGATGCAATGCCCACATGTGGGGCCAGCTCTGCAGTGCTGTCCAGGTGAGGTGCAGGGTCAGTTCTCCCAAGTCTGAGAGTATGTAAGGCGCAGGGCCAGCTCTGCTGCACTTTTGATTTGAGGGCCAGCTCCCCTGCCTGCTGTTTGTGGCAAGGAGTGAGAAAGGGGATAGCTCTCCTTTGCCCATGACACTGCAGGACAGACAGTGATGGGGCCATCTCTTCCATGGTCACCCCCTGGGGTCAGCTCATCCATACCTCAGCCACCACAGTCAGCTCTATTGTGCTATCCACATCACACGTAGGGCCTGCTTTCCCAAGTAAAGTAGCTGGTGAGAGGCAGGGACAGCTCTCCCACCCTCACATCTTCCAGCAATTCCCACAGATGCGCAGGTCTATCTCCTTAGTGCTGAAGCTGGGTAGGGAAATAATCACCTCTGCTGCTCTCATATACCCAGGGTCAGATCTCCCCAAATGCCCAGTTGAGGGGTGGGGCCAGGTCTGCACAGTCCTGAGACAGTAATGTGTCCCTGGGCAGTGGCCCAGGCCAGGAACATCTGTCTGGTGTTTGGTGGTAGCAGACCTCAGCTGCTGCGAGGTCAGGGACCCAGACATGTCTCCAAGTGTCAGCACAAGCCAGGACCCCACCATGGTCCCAGGTGGCATCACCAGCTACTCACATTAGGCTGCTCCTCATTACCTCCAAGTGTCCATTTTTACCTGTCTTCATTGTGCTCCTTCTGTTTCTCTTCCTTTATCCACCAACTTACTCGTTCCTCCTAGTGTGCACGGGGTCTCAGAGTGTGTGCGGTTGTCTCAGGAGTGGTCGCAGGAGTGTTATGGCCTGCACATGCATTATGGCTCCAGGCAAGGGTTGTCTCTGGCATGGTCTGCCTCCCACCCTACGCCTGTGTGGAACCATACTGGTGGTCTTCCCGGGCTAGCTCCAAATCCAGGCCCCATGTCGCTGGTGTGGTGGTTGTTCCATGCTCGCTCCTTATCCCAGCATGCCCGCAAGGTCCCAGAAAAAGGTCATCTGTCTTAGGCTCATTCCCGCCCGTGGCCTGTGGTCTCAGGTGGTGCTTTTCTAGCCTGTAGCTCTCTTCTGTCCCGGGGAGCCTGTGTGGGCCTGCACTGCACTAGACTGATGTTCATCTTACGCTAGCTTCCTGTCTGGGCCGCCTGGCACCGGACTGATAGTCATCTCAGGCTTGCTTTTATCAGGGAATGTTAGGCTGCCAAACATTTAGGTGTTCACAGGTCAGAACATTGAGCATAGACATAGCTTCTCTTCTCTCTGCCGCCTACTAGGAAGTGAATCTGAGTGCAAGGTGAAGTGGGAAAGGAACTGGAAGGAGTAGGTGGGAGGAAAAGTGTAACCAGATCCTATTATATGAGAAAAAAAATCTATTTTCAATAAAAGAAAAATAAAGCTCACATGAATGACTTTTGGATGGAATAAGTCATGAAAACAAAGAAATATTGACTGGTTTTTTGGACTTATTAGTAATGAAAGCAATCAAATATAAGAATCATGCTAAAGTCAGTTGAAGTAAAATTGTTGAATTCTATTTTTATTTCTAAGGACATGTTTTATAAAAAAGAATAAGAATGACACAAATCCATCAGTTGCCTAGAGGTGTGATCCATGAAGGAGAAAAGTAGATATTGACACCAGAAGCTAAGGTTCACTAAAGCAGCAACGTGATAGCATTTTTAAAATATTATTATGCTGGCTGAGATTCCAGAAACACGCTTAGGGCTAGTCAGCATGCTCGAGGACAGTGTTTACGGTTTGTACCATCCATTAGATCAACATTTCTGGAAAACAATTTAGGTCTAACTAATTCTGGGACTAACTTGGAAACAAAAGCTCCTTGTAACAGTTGATCTCAAAGAAATAAAGCGATGCAGTAAGTTTTCATTGTGTGCAATGAAAACATCTCACACAACAGTGATGTGACTCAGAGCACTACAGATGCAATTCATCCACATCTTGATTACTGCTCATTACGCGAGTGCCAGAATAATGGTTTTAAAGGTTACGAGGCTCTACTAAATATAGGCAATGGAAAAATGTCCACACCTTTACCCTCATTACATAAAAGCATACAAGACAAACCATGAGTGACAGGTGGGTAAAGGGATGCTTGTTGGGGAGCTGTTTTTCAATGCATTGATGCAGAGATGAGGAGAGCACAGTGAGTTCTTCCTGCCCTGCAAACACTTGGGACTGAGCACGTGTAACATTTGACCCAATTCTCATGTGTTGTCTATTAAACTGGGGCATGTTCTCTGTTTAATTGATGATACCTCAAGCATGGACCTAACCATGTACACAAAATTAATGCAGAGCAAGACATGAATTTGCTTTATAGGAAGACTACTGCTAAATCTCATTTATGCATCAACCTTTTTAAAAGAGAAATCAAAATCAGAGTCGAATGGTATTTGCCAGCGATAAGGCGGAGGAGAAGCAGGGGTCCATAGGTAAGATCACCAGGTAAGTGAACCTCAGATTTAAAAAAATACAGTCTGGACTGAAGATTATTCCAAGGCATATTACAGATGTGCTGAGACATGTTTTGTAGCATTCATATATGTGCACATACCGCAAAGTGACACTGTGCAAGGTAGAAGACATATCAAAATACTTACATTCAATCATAGCACACGCACACACACACACACACACACACACACAAACATGTTACACATACTAAATTTATGAAACAAAATAGGTGTTTCACTGTCAGTTTCCAATACACAGAAATTAATTTTAAAGATTATGTTCTTCCTTACAAAGATACTTTACTTATAATTATTGTATATACTTATTCTTTGAAAAGTATCCTAAATACATACTTGATAACTAATTTTGGGAAGATGTGGATGGCATTAAATTAACATACAGTATAACTGGTTTCCTTATGGCATTTTTTATAGTTAGTTTTTTTAAAGATTTATTTCTTTATTTTACCTGAGTGCTCTATTTGCACATACATTTGCATGCCAGAAGAGGGCACCAGATCTTATTATAGATGGTTGTGAGCCACCATGTGGTTGTGGGAATTGAACTCAGGACCTCTGAAAGAGCAACCAGTGCTCTTAACCTTTAAGCCATCTCTCCAGCCCTATAGTTAGTTTTTTTAATCCTGTGTTGTGCTCCCCTTCTCCCAATCCAGAAACCTGCTGTATCTTTTAGGACCAGCCTGCTCTTCCATAATCACTCGTTCTTTTGTCCTGCCTACCCTATCCTTTAAAGCCTCCTTTGTTCTGGTCTTACAGACCCCCTTATACTTTCAACTTTCTGAATATATATTTAGAAATATGATAGATTAATATAATATTGCATTTATTCCAACCAACTTAAGAAGATGCTACTTTATTTCTTAAGCTTGCAGCTGGAATAATCACTTATCATTGATATAATGAAACATACACATCCTTGACTGACATACATCCAGATAAAACAAAATTTACATCTGAAGTAAGGAAATAGTATATACACATGTTTTCGACTGTAACTAGGATATTTGAATTCTAAAGTATTTGAGGTTAAGACTTGGATCCAAGGTGTTAAACACTGCCCTAATCAATAACTACAGCAGAAGAAGCCATCCATTCATCCAGTTATTCAACAAAGACTCATTATTCTATGTGCCAAGTTGACTGTATGAAGAGCTCTGCAAGTGAAATAAGAACATTTTAAATGTTCATACACAAATTGGCAAATGCTAATTCGTATGATTAGAAGACATTATATTACCCATGTTTTCCAAGAAAAAAAAATATTTTCATTGTCAGAAACTGAACATGAAATGTTAGGGGGTTAATGGAATTCCTACCCTGGTGATGGCACTGTAAATTGGTGCAATATCTGAATGAGAACTCTGACAACTACTGACACAGGTGATGAAATCATGATCTTCTTTACCTCATGAAACTGACTGTCAGAAAGCATCCCATGAGAATATTTGTGCGAAAATCCTTATGCCCGCATGATACATTGTCACTGGAAACTGAACAATGTCTAAATAATCAGTTTTAAGCAACTGTCTAGGTAACAAACTTATGTTAACTTGTCAAATTAGTGGAAAATTCTAGTGCCATAAAAATGACAGGAATGAGAATTAGTGGCAGACTGAGAATTAGTGAAATGGGCTAGAGAGGTGGCTCAGCCCTTAAAGGGTTATACATACATTCATGCATACACACACACACACACACACACACACACACACACATGTATATACATACTCACACTGTGTGTGTATCTGTGTGCATGAATGGATATCTGCAATGTGTGTAATGTAATTGAATGAAGAATAGACCTTGGAATGATACTGATTTCAGTTATAAAAAATAAGTTATGTGCTAGCAATAGGTACAATATGCACATAGAATGTGGATCTAGAGATAGAAAGTTAATGTTTGTACATACACACATGTATGTATGTATGTATGTATGTATGTATGTATGTATGTATGTGTCTAATACATAACAGGCTATGGAAAACAACAAAGTAAAAGTTGGCATTAATAATAACAATGCAAAAATATAGATTTAGGTGTTAAAGAGATGGCTCGGTGTTTTAAACCATTTGCTGCTTTTGCAAAAGTCCTGAATTAAGTTCCCAGAAGCCATATTAGGTAGCTCACAGACCCCTGTAACTCTAGCTCCAGGTGATATGATACCTTCTTCTGGTCTTCAAGTCTTTACTCAGACTCAGAAACACAAGTGCATAGCACACACACACACAATGCATGCACATGCACGCACACACACACTCACACATACAACAATAATAAACTAAATCTTTTTAAAGGGAATAGAGACCTGGAATCTGGAAGATTTTGTAAAAACGCTACTCTATGGGCAGACATCTCACCTCTCCACCATTAATAAATTTGCATCTGACCTTCCTGGATACTTCAACACTGCCAGGAGTGCAAATCAATTCACCAAAGCAAGAACATGTACTTGGGCAAAGTTCTTTCTTTATGAAGTGAACAAACTGGATAGTTTTTGAACAGTTGCTGCCTGCTATAGTCAGACTCAGTTTGGTTGTGTTGTTCTCACACTTGCAAACACCATGAGCCACTAGAATGCAGAGAAAAAGGAAAGTGGATGTCAAGGAGGAGGGGGGCCGGCACAGTGGCTCTTGCAGACACTACACAGCAATGTCCTTGGTTGTTGAGACATCTGAGATGTGACTTGGCAGTCACATAGAAATTGGGATATTTCCCACTCTCTAAAAACATACATGGGGCTGGAGAAATGACTCAGAGGTTAAGAGCACTGGCTGCTCCTTCAGAGGTCCTGAGTTCAATTCCCAGCAACCACATGGTGGCTTACAGCCATCTATAATGAGATCCGGTGCCCTCTTCCGGTGTGCAGGTGTACATGCTAACACAACATTGTATACATAATAAGTAAATAAATCTAAAAAACTAACTAAATAATACATGTACATAATTTTCAAAGTGGAGTAAAGCCTTCATTGCACAGATGCATACTGAATACAAGTGGTATAATTTCACAGACGTACAGATAGAACGATTCTGCCTGACCTTCCAAAGAATAGCTCCTCAAAGAGGCCCCCAGATGGAAGCAAAGTGTCAGCAGTGTTTAACACCTCCTCCTGGTCTCCAGGATTTTATTTAGAGTTGCAAAAATCAACACAACTATTTGTTTCATAATTCTACTTGCTTCCTTCAAATAAATTCAACGGAATAACCTCAAAGTAGTGTCTGCTTCCTTTTGACAGACTGAATTGAAATAACAAAGAATGCAGTAAAGTCTCACCTTAACACACACAGGAGCCAGAGAAAACTGAAAAGGTTTCTGGTTAGTGTTTTCTTTCCAGTTATTTTTAAAGTATCCCTGTTATAATTACATCAACACACATTCCAGATTCTTTATTATAGAGAATCTAGTCATTATTTTTCCTAATCACAGATAGCTAGAACAAATGCCCTCTAAACATCTCATGAAAATTATATTTGTCATCGTTTTATTCTTTTCATACAGTTCTGACATGAATTTGAACTAAAATAACATAATGTATTTTCTGAAGTCTCCAGATTCATACATATGAAAAATACTTTTTGGAGACTGACTCTTAATAACATGATTTTATGAAGCTGAACATAAAATATCATGTTAGAAAAAGTGATACATTTCACATACAAGTAAGACTTAGAAGGTTGTCCTCCAAAGAAAATAAAAGATATTTCACAGTGATCTTAATCCACCTACAGATTGAACTGGGGTCATGCTATTACCAGATATTTACATATGTTTTATTTTTTTAATATTTTTAGATATAAAAAAGAAAAAAGCTAGGTATGATGGTGCA